TTCAAACTGATTTTTATTTATCTTTTATCCTAATTTTAGAAGTATAGATTTTTCTAAATATACTAAATATATATAGTAAAATCTAAGGACATGTATAACTACTGGCTACCTAGCTCCGTACCGTATTCATGTTTGGGTGTGTGGTCACATCATGCACATCTCGTGTGACACACACACCTGTTATTAGGGTTCGTGTCACCCATTTTCAGTATGTGTGTAGTGCTGCTACAGGTTCTCGGATGCTAAGAGTTTGGAAAGTCAGTGAAGAAATTGTCGACATGATTTCGCGCTCAGTTACACCGATATTTGTTAAAAATAGTTGCTGTATTTTAGCACTGATTCGACGGATACCCCACAAATTGTGGTTCCTAATTCAAATACCGTATACTTTATGTGGGCCTTTTCCATGATAGTCCTGTTCGTGAGTTCCACCAAATCATTTTGCTGAGGGATATATGGAACGGGACGTTTCTGGGCGATGTGTCTCCAACAACATATGTATACTATTGCTTTCTTCACGAATTCTGTTTCGGGTCAAATCGCAAGCATTTGAGACGAGTACACCGTTCATTATCGTAAAGAGACTCGAATTCCTTAAACTTGCCAAATTCTTCCTTCGTGCTCTTAATCAAGAGGATCACAGCATATTGTGAAGAATCATCCACAAAAATGAAGATATATTCTGTACTTCATATCGACGAAGTCCGCATTGAACCCATTAAATTTGCGTACTCGCGCACAAGAATACGCGTCGTCTTTGTCATCCAACTGTCTGCACTTTCTACAAACACCGGCACAGAGCGTTCTTGTTTCTTGCTTGATCATCAGGAGCCTCTGTTCGAGCATTGTGTCTCGAATAAAGGCATCCATATTTTGGTTTCCGATGCAAACATGCAAAAGCTCTAACTGAGTGTCAGCCCTGGAATACTCCACGTAACATGCTTCTCTCTGCTTACAGACGAGCATGAACGCTTTAACAATTTTTAAACTCGATGCAATCGCCTTTTTTATGCTTCAGATGACATACGAAGAGCACAAAATCCCCAAGTAACATGCTTCTTCCGGCTTACAGTCAAGTATGTTGGCTTTACCGATTGTTGATCCCAATGCAATAGTATTTTCGTTGTATCAGAAGACAGACGATGAACGTAAAGCAACACACTCATACCGCTCTGCAACCTTGCCAACAGACAAAAATCTGCCGTCGACTCATTATTGATATGGTCAATATAACTGTGACGGCTCCATTGACGAGGAACTTTTCGCCATCTGCAATTGCTACTTCGAAGCTTTATTAAATGTCCTTGTAATCGAACTGCTGCTTTGTGTGGTTCATTTGGAATGTGGAACCTTTGCCGATAAATCACCAAGCCCATCGTCCTTCAGTCTCAGCAAATACCGCATTATCATTGCTGACATGCATTTTGACCGGAGAGTCGCGCTTCACATGACCAATCTGGTCACAATTACATTTACGCCGCCGTGGTGGCGCAAAGTTTATTTTTTTATCGTTGTCTCGTCTATCTTAAAAAAATATAGCATCCCATTTACGCGGAACGCTTCCTTGTAGCCACCTTTCTGTGTAGCTTTTATGATTATTGGATAGCATCTTCGTCAAATTAATCAATGCGATGTTGTTTGCTTCTTTCACAATCGATGAGATCAATTAATTTTTGACGTCAGACTGCTGAGAAGTACCATCAGCTAGTGCGAAACATCAACCCGCTCTCCAATTATTACCAAAGGATTTGCTGATACACCTTCAATCAATTACTGAAGTCTTTGCTTTGACGCCAGTATCAATTATCATCACTTTAAAGTTTTCTTCTGACTTTTCTAGTGTTTTCTAGAAGTATCGTCAATCCACATTTCTTTAAGAACTCAGGGTGGCACGAATGTTGATCCTGTTTGAGCTGATCAAGTTGCTTTCTTGGCAACAGTTATAATTTCAGTCACGATAT